CGCTGCTAATCCCTCTGATCCCATCGGGGGCTGTCGCAGCCTGTTGGCTCCCGGCGCCCTGATGCTTTAATCGCCCCTAATCCCTTCGCCCCCGCCTCGTGGGCACCGCGGACCCCCGCAGGGGTGGGCACGGGGACGTCGGACGGCGCCGGCATCCCGGGCGGTCGGCGCTGCCCGTTTCCCAGTTTCAGGGGCGGCTGCCGCTTGCCCTGCCGGTCGGGCCTGCTCGGCAGCGCGGGGCGGCTCCGCAGCCGGTTGCTCCGGGGCCGTTCCCAGCCGCCTGCCGAGGCAGCCCCAGTTTGGCGAGCACCCAAGCGCAGGGAGCGGCCGGCGCGGGGATGGGGATGGGCTCCTGCGCCGGGGGCCGCCGGCCGCGCCGCCCCTCCGCGGGCAAGAGGGGGCACGTTCCCCCCGCCCGCCGACGGCACAGCGCGGCTTGGCACGGCCACGGCGGCGGGCTTCGGTTCGGAGCGGTCCGACCCGTCCCCGCGGAGATGGGCGCAGCTCGGCACGGCGATGTCCGGCGGCACCAGCAGCGCGGTTTCGCTCTGCATGGCTGCGCTCCGTGGCGCAGTTGGGTTTTGCTTTCGTGGCACGGCTTGGTTTTGCTTTGTGGCACAGCCGGGTTTTGCTCCGTGGCACAAGTTCGTTTTGCTCTGTGGCACAGCCTGGTTTTGCTCTGTGGCACAGCCTGGTTTTGCTCCATGGCACAGCCTGGCTTTGCTCTATGGCACAGCCTGGTTTTGCTCCATGGCACAACCTTGTTTTGCTCTGTGGCACCTCATGGTTTTGCTCCACGGCACAGCCTGGTTTCGCTTTATGGCACAGCCTGGCTTTTCTGTGTGGCACAACTGGGTTTTGCTCCATGCCACAGTTTGGTTTTACTCTGTGGCACAGCCTGACTTTGCTCCATGGCACAACCTGGTTTTCTCGCTGGCACAGCTCAGTTTTGCTCCATGGCACAGCCTGCTTTTGCTCTGTGGCACAACCTGGCTTTCCTGTGTGGCACAGCCTGGCTTTGCTTTATGGCACAGCCTGGTTTTGCTCTGTGGCACAACTTGGTTTCGCTCTATGGCACATCCTGGTTTTCCTCTGTGGCACAACCTGGCTTTCCTCCATGGCACAGCCTCCACCCGAAGCCCAGACGTGGCGAATGCCACACACTTGGTGCTGCCTGTGCCACCAGACAACCCCTTTCCTGGTGCCACCGTGCCGTGCACCAAGACCTGATCTGATCTGCAGCTCCGCTGCCACCATCCCCACACTCAGGACTGCATCCATCACCCACCCAGGGCTCCCACATTGCCATATATGTCGCTCCAGGTGTGATCCCCAAAGCACAGCACCTCAGGGACACCCCCCACCCTCCTCCCCTTTTCCCCCACACCCCCCCGGTGCCAGTACCGCCGTGCCGGGCACAACCTGCCCTATGGGGCCGCCAGCTCGGAGAGGCCACGGTGCCGCTTTTATGGCACCGCTGACGCAAAGCTCTGCCAGCTGCAGCGTGGGAAAGGCCCTGCTCACGCAGGCAGGGCTTGGCTGGGCGAGGAGCGGCCCGGGGCTGGGGCAAAGCGTAGGGAGGGGGCTGGGCCCCCACTGGGAGTGGGGGCAGGAACCCAGCGCTGCGCTGATCCTAATCTGCGGGCAGGAAGCGCGGCCCCGTCTTCCCAGCCCGGTTGGGCTTCGCGGGGCGGCCCCCAGCCCTGGGGTGGGGGGGGGGGGACCTTCTTCCCGGCAAATGCCGCCCACCCGCGTTCCCAGGACGGGGAGCTGCGCCCGGCGAGGCGGGGGGATGCGGTGGGGTGGGCCGGGGGGATGCGGTGGGGTGGGCAGGCAGGAAGCGCAGCGCCTCGACGCCGCTCAAAGGCGCCGCGCTGAGATTTCCCCCTTTGCTGCGGTCGCTTTGGGGGCGGCGGTGGAGGGAGGAGGGCGGGGGGGATGCGGTGGGGGCCCGACGGCGGCACGCGTCGGTTCCACGGCGTCCAACCGAAATTTTGGGTGCTCGGAGGTGATGCTGAGCCGTGCAACCCTCTGGCAGACCGCTCTTGGGGCGCCCACCCTGCAGCAGAGCTGATGCTTTGGCACCCATGGGTGCTGCATGGTGGGAATGAGGTTTCCTTGCACTGCAGCACAGCTGATGCTTTGGCACCCATAGGTGCTGCATGGTGGAAGGAGATTCTTTGCACCACAGCAGAGATGACGTTTTGGCACCCATGGGTGCTGCATGGTGGAAGGAGATTTTTGCACTGCAACACTGCAGCACTGCAGCAGAATTGCCACTTTGGCACCCATGGGTGCTGCATGGTGGAAGGAGATTCTTTGCACTACAGCAGAGACGACGTTTCGGCACCCATGGGTGCTGCATGGTGGAAGGAGATTCTTTGCACCACAGCACAATTGCCGTTTTGGCATCCATGGATGCTGCATGGTGGGAACGAGTCTCCTTGCACCACAACAGAGCCGACGCTTTGGCACCCATGGGTGCCGCCCGGCGCTGATTCCCCTCACCTTCTGCTCCCGCAGGTGAGGACGATGGCGAGCCCCGAGGACGACCTGATCGGCATCCCCTTCCCCGAGCACAGCAGCGAGCTGCTGAGCAGCCTGAACGAGCAGCGGCACCGGGGGGTGCTGTGCGACGTCACCATCAAAACGCAGGGCTTGGAGTACCGCACGCACCGCGCCGTGCTGGCCGCCTGCAGCCGCTACTTCAAAAAGCTGTTTGCGGGGCCGGGGCCGGGCCAAGAGGTTTGCGAGTTAGACTTTGTAGGGCCTGAAGCTTTGGGAGCTCTGCTGGAGTTCGCCTACACCGCCACGCTGACCATCAGCAGCTCCAACATGGGCGAGGTGCTGCAGGCGGCCCAGCTGCTGGAGATCCCGTGCGTCATCGCCGCCTGCGCCGACATCCTGCAGTGCCACGGCTTGGAAGCTCCCGGCCCCGATGATGACGATTGCGAGCGCGCTCGCCGTTACCTGGAAGCTTTTGCCACCCTCCCCGACGGGGACCCCCCCGCCGCTCCCCCCGCCCGCCCCGCCGCTCGCCGCAGCAAGAAGACCCGCAAATTCCTGCAGGCGCGCGGCGCACGCCTCAACAACCACAGCGAGGAGCCGCCCGCCGAGGCCGAAGGCTCCCACAGCCCCCTGCCCGCCCCGCAGCCCCCTTCCCCTCCCCCGATGCCGGAGGGCTTGGCGCAGCCCTACGAGGCTTTCGAGGTGCCCGAGGAGGAGGAGCTGCCCCCTCACGCCTTCCCCTTCCCGTACCAGATGTCCCCCGAGGAGGGCGGCTCGGACGACGACGCCATCGATCCCGATCTGATGGCTTATCTGAGTTCGCTGCACCACGAGGCGCTGGCGCCCGGGCTGGATAGCCCCGATAAATTGGTGCGCAAACGGCGTTCCCAAATGCCTCAGGAGTGCCCCGTGTGCCACAAAGTCATCCACGGTGCCGGCAAACTGCCGCGCCACATGCGCACGCACACGGGAGAGAAGCCCTTCGCCTGCCAGGTGTGCGGCGTGCGCTTCACGCGGTGAGTGCCATGGTGATGGCGGTGGCCCCGGGGTGGCCCCTGCCCCATGTGTCCATTGGGTGCCCGTGGTGTCCACCTGGGTGCCCACGGTGTCCTCTGGGAGCCTGCAGTGTCCCCTGCCCCATGCGTCTCCTTGGGTTCCCGTAGTGTCTCCCTGGGTGCCCGTGGTGTCCCCTGGGTGCCCATGGGGTCTTCTGGGTGCTGGTGGTGTCCCCTGCCCCATGGTGTCCCTTGGGTGCCTGCGGTGTCCTCTGGATTCCCATAGTGTCCCCCTGAGTACCCATGGTGTCCTCTGGGTGTCCGTGGCGTCCTCTGGGTGCGTGCAGTGTCCCCTGCCCCACATTTCTTCCTGGGTTCCCGTAGTGTCCCCCTGGGTGCCAGTGGTGTCCCCTGGGTGCCCACGATTGTCCACCTGGGTGCTCACGGTGTCCAACTGGATGCCCATGGGGTCTTCTGGGTGCCCGTAGCGTCCCCTGCCCCATGGTGTCCCTTGGGTGCCCACGGTGTCCTCTGGATTCCTGTAGTGTCCCCCTGAGTACCCATGGTGTCCCCACCTGGGTGCCCATGGTGTGCCTTGGGTACCCATGGTGTCCTCTGGGTGCCCGTGGTGTCCTCTGGGTGCCTGCAGTGTCCCCTGCCCCACGTGTCTCCCTGGGTTCCCATAGTGTCCCCCTGGGTGCCCGTGGTGTCCCCTGGGTGCTCACGGTGTCCACCTGGGTGCCCATGGAGTTTTCTGGGTGCCTTCAGTGTCCCCTGCCCCGCGTGTCTCCCTGGGTGCCCATAGTGTCCCCCTGGGTGCCAGTGGTGTCCCCTGGGTGCCCACAAGTGTCCATCTGGGTGCTCACGGTGTCCACCTGGGTGCCCATGGGGTCTTCTGGGTGCCTTCAGTGTCCCCTGCCCCGCGTATCTCCCTGGGTGCCCATAGTGTCCTCCTGGGTGCCAGTGGTGTCCCCTGGGTGCCCACGATTGTCCATCTGGGTGCTTACGGTGTCCACCTGGGTGCCCATGGGGTCTTCTGGGTGCCCGTAGCGTCCCCTGCCCCACGGTGTCCCTTGGGTG